GCCATGCACGGGTTATCATAGTACCTACACGTGTCCGTACACATGTGGCTTCAGTAGTAGCAGAACTGCAGAGTCGGAGGTGCGACGGCGGGAAGCGGAGTGACGAAACATTTTACCATGATCAAAACCTCATCCTTTTTGTCTAATAAGCGGGCCAATGCATAGCTTGCAGAGGTTCACATTAGAATCTTGTATTGTACCCTAAGGGTACTGTCACGGTTACACCGTGGGCGCTTGGTCTGGCAGGTAGACAGGGACATTGACAGTCCCACAGCGACGACTCAGCCGCTCTTTTACCCTGATTCGTCTCCCCCTTTCACTTCTTGGAGAAGCCTCCTCCTTAAGTAGACTCTCTAACTCTACCTATCCTGCTTCCAGCGCCCCTCTGTCCCCGCATTCCCTCACAACCTTTCTCGCGACCTCCACGCCCCATTACCCACCTCCTAGACACCGTTCGTTTCTGCCCCCTGAAGCGCCGTACCTGGTGCACAGCCATCCGGTGTAGTGTCGGCCTGCTGACGCTCACTTCCGATCAAACGAATGATCGCGCAGCACCGCCACTATTACTCCACAGCCAATTATCAGGCCCCAAGTGTCCCTACACATGCTCTGATTCCACTGATAGCCATACTTCGACCTTTTGCCCTGTTCTCCGCCCCTTCAGCGCACGTCCTCGCAACAGTACCCTTAGGAAGGGTACTGTATGACCCCCAAAAAAAATGTTGCGACAAACAGTTGCGACAAAAATTCGCCTCCCACATGACCACAGCAGCGCAGACAGAGAAAGTACAGTACGGGATGAGGGCCAGTCCTAACAGGCGCTTTTCTTTCAGGGCCAGTAGTCACGGGCCTGTCACTGTTCCTACCGTGCATGGCCACAGCTCCGTAAGCAAGAGTTGGAAACGTGAGCATTTTTGACAGAACAGCATAAAATACGTGGCTTTGTATGGAACCGGTCACAGAATGAGATTCCGTGTGCCAACAAACAATGAAACGCCCCAGTGAGGCACGTGGACCAACACAAAGCAAGCCATACGTGAAAATCCAATGCAAAAGTAATGAAATATGTCCTCTTGTGTGCACTATAATTTCGTGAGCTCGGTGGTGTTGAGCATATACAGTATCAAATACTCACCGGTTGCTCACGCAGACTGTGGTTGCGTGTGCTATCAGCACGAAGAGCGAAGACGAGGAGGCAGTTCGGCGAGGAGGGCTACGGAGCTTGTAAAATCACCTTTGTGGGAAATTGATAGGGCCAAAAGTAGGTCCGTGACCGCTGGAAAGCTCTGGCAGGACTTAGAGCGTGGACTTGGGTCTTGATCTCTGAGCTAGTTTCCTCGCGAAGGAGGTTTGTGACGTTTGGGAATGATCAGTGTGTAAATGGACGCGTCATCAGTAGACTGAAGAGTTTAATGGCGAGCTGGTTGCTACAATGTGTTGACAGGCTTGTCAGCAATGCGTTATACCGTGACCGCCTTGTGACCTATAGTCTAAGACACGTCTATATTTCGTACAACAGAAACGCATTCCCAGTCTGAGGGGTTAGTGTAGAACCTCGAGTTTTTTTCACTCTGTGAAGAAGGGAGAGAATTTTATGTGACGTGAACAGAAGGAACGCTTTCTATTGGCATGATCCCCCAGGTCTATCCCCCTTGGTCCCAGAGGGCTCGTTTCAGGCAATAGTTATGACGCAAGACATGGCCAGCATTCATAGATAGTCACAATGCCCCCGGAAGCATCTCTTCTGGGATTGTGGCGAACGGCTCATGCTTCGTTCGAAGGAGTATGAAATGAGAAATTAGAGAAACTCAACTGAATGGCCGATGATATTAGAAATTAGGCCACAAGATTGAACCACTTTGTTGTATTATCCAATACAGCACACAACTTTTCGCAGCCCAGTCTACCGAAACGTACAATGACGTCAGGTGGTCGTACTCTAGTCTCGATCCGACCAAGCATTCTCATAACATAAAAAAGTGCGAATTTTATTTCTTTTCAACTTTGATGTCCACCGTTTCTATTTTTCTTTGGTAGGTTAACTCGATTTAAAACTTTTCTGAAGTTAAAACCGAATAGAAAGCACTCTACCGAATTTTTCTATGGTACTGGAAAAAAAATAGCTTAAAGAAAAATGCATTCTGTAAGTCGACGTTTTCTTTTGAACACCTTTATGTGCATCAACGAGTTTATGTGCGTCAACGAGTTAGTTTTCGCTAGAATTGACGAGCGGATGCTTTACCTGCGGCGATGGACTTCTAGTTGCAAAAAAAACAGAAGTTAAATCGCGCATTGCGTTTTCTAGAAAAACACGTCATATGAGGACTAATAGTCCGATAGGCGGTAGAGGACAGCAATTAATCGGTAAAGATGTTGACCTTATTTATCGATACGCGCATGATGTAGGGATTTTTCAGTAGAGATTGGCGATAGTGTACTTTTATATACATTATTGAAGCACTGAGTGGCGCAAAAGGTCTCAAATTTGCACTCGACAACTATTTTTAGCATTCTGGCCACTCTTTTATACCCATGCGTTCTCCATACAACACGAGGTCGAAGTTAAAGTTCTCCATACAATACGAAGTCAACGTTTCCGGCTTTTGCCCGATATTCTGAAGCCTCATGAAAGGCACCTAGTCCTAGATGGCGGTTAGTACCAAGCAAAGACAGGGCGCTTCGCTATCGTCTTGCATGGCGCCGTTGCGGTACATACAGTAACATGATAAATGGTTGCCTGGGCAACCGAGTACGTTTAATTAGATTAAACTTTATCTTGAACCAAGCACAACACCACACGTACGCAGTGTTAAACCGCAGTGCAACACGGGGGTGCTCGTAGTGCTTCGTAAAGCCGCTGAACCAGGCACTTCGAGCACATCGTGAACGTGAGCGCAACAGAATTTCGTCGAAATATTGAATTTGCACCGAAAGTTTTGCATTGTTCTGTACAGTTTAGAAGGTACACGTGTAGCAATCGAATCCCAAGTCCCTACAGTACCACCCTACAGTTGACATACCGCACGGTACCCTCGCGTATAGTGCGTGTGTCTCCGCCATGTAGGGGTTGTCGCCTCGATTCGAGTGCAGACACGCGCCGAGTGCAGATATGAGCACCGAGGCTTGCCGAGGGCCTCATATCGCACGACGCACAGCGTGTCTGCACGATGGGATCGAGGCGACAATATGCTTGTCTATCGGCTGCTACAGCGACTGTCAGCCATTGTAATTACAGTACAATTGTTGGCTTGATTATTGTCTGCACTATGGTGCAGACATTTTCGGCAGTAGTGCGGACATCTGCAATTTTTGCACTGCACTGAACCCCGCCAAGCCCTTTTCAGTAACATTACGGTTTTCCCCAAAACCTGTGAATGTCACCGCTGTCACGGCGCGTATGTCCCCGTCAGCCGGTAGACAAGCCCTTCCTGTCGCCGTCTGGTTTCCGCCCCGGCAAGTTTGCACGATGCCTGTGTTTGAACCAAGCACGTGGGCAGAGGTTTCAGAAGCGCAACTCTCGCAGAAAGGATTTTCGCAAACTTCCGACTCCTTCTTCAAGTGTGTCCGTGCTTTTACGGATGCCCCAGAGCGTTTCTTGACTGCAACGCCATTAGGAACCCATTAGGCACGCCGTTACCCATCCACCGCACCGGATTCTAAAATCGAAGAGGAGCCCGAGGTCCACGCCCCTTTCGCTTCTACCCCGCAGAATGACACTCCGCGAGCAGATATTCGTAATCTTCCGCGCGCTGGAGCGAACAGGAACGATGGAATATTCGATGAGCCTCTGGGTTTTGGGCGCGTTGATGTCGATGCACAGATGCTCGCACGGAAGGGCAAAGGAAATTTGAGAGAGGATATCCAGGATTTGAATCTACGCCCAGCGCCAGCGAGGGGCAAAGAGGAACAAGTCCAAACTTCTCAGATTAACGTGTCCTCCGAGTCATTTGACCCGTCGACATACCTTGCCAAAGTGCACAAAGGAACCTCACTTGAAGAGCTCCGCGAAGGAAAGAAGACTCTGCATAAGGTTATGGAACACTTGGATGCGGAGACGGGAAAGTTCAAGAAGGAAAAGTTTGTAAGTGCTGTGCTTGTCGAGGCAATGTTGGAGCAAAAAAAAAAAAAGATCTATACCCGATCTCGCCATTTGCAGAGGAGCAAGAGCCATGGAAAGGGAAGACGGAAACCACGTTTTGGACAGCGGAGCAAAAGCTCAAGTCGAGGTATGAGAACGTGTTTGTTGTTTGGTGAAAGGGGGGTGGCTGGTTTTTCTTTTTCTGGGGAGGCGTGGGATGTCCGGTGCCGAGTGCCGATTAGTACTTCGTTACAGCTCTCAGGACATTCCATGGGGGTTCCGGGTCTTGAGGTCACTCCTTCGCCGGGACCAGGCTTACTCCCTTCCTCCCGGCCTACAGAGGGCGCCCCCCGACTCTGAGCTGTCTCTGGTTGCGCTCGTGTCGACTTTCTCCCCATCATTAGAAGTCCCTCGGATTTCGCCTGCACAAGCGATATGGGTTCTTCTTCGGAGTAGGACGTATCGAAGTGGCAAGTGAAGTCGCCACTCCGCACTATTGCGATCCTGGGTGACACCGACGGTACCATCCAGCAGTTATACTTTGTCAGCATTGACATCGCTAACACTCTTCTGCTGTTTTCTATGGTAAGTTTCCCAGAAATATGGGCTTTTGCGAGTGTATTGGGCTTGTGGAGGCCAACAGTAACGATTCCCATCATTAATGTCATCCCAATGATTAATAAGCCTATTAGGAACGCGGTATTGAGTGCTGCTACGGTCTTCGTCTCTGAGATGAACTGGCCCGACCTCCCAAGGAGTGACTCGGATATCCAACTGACCCTCGTTTGTGTGTTGTCCGGATCCCCCTGCGTCCATTCCGCGCGTAATCTCCAGGCGTCATTGAAGTTCGCGACTCTGAGTTGCAGGGCCATGAAAGCCGTCACCACTTTGGCGGCGTCTCCCCAATCTCTCATTCGACACGTCATCGGCTCACCGGTAGTCGTCTCATGAATAAGTTGGAAACATATCGTGGCCATATGAAAAACAAAGAAATTCCGTCAATTCCAATTGGTAAAAGTTGCGGGTTCAAGTCCCGCCTCTCTCGATTCTGGGAACCTTTCTGGCGAACCATCAATGCGACCGTTCTCGATAGCACAAGGGATGTATCGTCGCTGAGTAGTACGATGCTGGTCGATCTTCGGTTATCCACTCCCGACGACATCGAGCGGGCTAGATAGAAAGCGTTTCTGTCAATGTCATCTTCCACTCTCACCCCGTAGTTGACCGTGAGCTCATGAACTCTCAGCATCTCATCTTCGACCTTAGGAAGTCCCGCGTCGTGTCTATAAGCTCGCGCCGGCTCCAATAGCGGGTCTACACACTTCACATCCCACTGCTCTGGGTATAGCGGCATACCCTCGCAATCTAGGACCAACTTTGGTTTGTCGATTAGTTCAACACTTACTGGCATCCCCTGTGAAGCATAGCTGTAAGCTCCATCCTTGACTATACGGCCGGACACTATATCTATTAGCGCGATCGACGGGTAACCAGGCCAGTCCCTCTCTAATAATACGTATCTTTCAGGTCCTGAGCTGTAAATGACAAGTCGATCCTTCACCAGGGCGATGCCATAAGGTCCTGTGAACCACACAACGTCTCCTCTCCCCGCGTCTAAATATTCACCATCACCCGGCGACGTTATTAGCTGGATTTGCGGGTCTATGGCGGCGGCGGCTGCCTTTAAGTTGTCCAAATCGTCCTCGGTAATATTGAGCCTCCTCGCCGTCGTGTCGTTCAAGTGAAAGACTTCATACGTCGTTTTGTGCGGCCTCGGCCTGAACGGTGCGGGCACCCACCTGTCGCCCCCCAGGCTCAATATCTCCAATTGAGTGTGTATCCCGACGCCCTCATACCCAGTCCTGTGCACATTATCGCTAGGAACTTCCAAAGATCCCGAGCCGAATTCCATGAACAAATCTGCTGATATCAATAAGGTGGCAACGACAGTAACCATCCACCTGAAGTTGTTGTCCCGAACATCCTCCTCAGTGACTAGGGTGCTCCTGGTGAATCTCCTCTGTTCGAGCCGAACGGCCTCTCCAGCCGCAACTCTCGAACCTGCTCTGTACGCAACGCCTGCTGACCACACCCTAGACAGAACGGTTGTGGCGACTAGGCTTATAAGAACGAACCGGACCACGTTCCACAATGGGACCCCTATAGCCAGTTCTATGATCATTGCTCTCGCTGTCTTGAAATGTTTTGAAATTAGTCGGATGTTGTTTGGTAAAAGGGGGGATGGTTGGTTTTTCTTTTTCTGGGGAGGCGTGGGGTGCCCGGTGCCAAGCGCCTCCCCTTCCGACGCACCCCTCCACTTTCACGCTTTTATTTTCTCTCCAGTCCTTCCAGTGTCTAGACGACCGGCAATTTGACCTCATAATATGAGGTCAAATTGCTAAAAGGTCAGGCATGTGTTGATGAACGGTCGATGTTGGTATTTGATTTATCATCTCACCAAAGCATTGCTACCTTACATGTCTACGTTTTGTCTTCTATGGCTACTTCGCATGAATCTATATACAGTCCATACCGCTCAATAGTGCAGTACCATGCCACGCGGTGAAATACTGCACTATTGGCTCATTGCACTACTTAAGGGAAGATCTCGCCAATCACTTTTACAGCGTAGCTTTACTTGAAGAAATGTACGCTGCACACGTGTCGAAAGTCGTGACATGCGGCTTTGACCTGCACTATTGACGGTTTGCACTAATCACAACTGCACTATTGACGGTTTGCACTAATCACAACTGCACTATTGAGGAGGTACTCTCTGTATGCTCTTATATTTTACACTTGCTCTAACACTGCTGCTACCTCTCGAGGTAGTAGACTTGCTCTAACACCGCTGCTAGAGAGACTTGCTCTTACAGTATATATGGTAGAGCATCACCACCGGTACCCTTGGTACAAGTGTACAGTAACATGTTACGTGATCAAATGACCAAACAACAATACTTGGCATGATTTTTCTAGAACTCAATTGGCTCGTGGGAATTTAGTGAATTGGTTTCAGTATTTGGTAATTTGATATTTCAAAAAGGACACTCCCTACAGTACCACCCTACAGTTGTCATACCGCACCGTACATACCGCACCGTACATACCGCACCGTACCCTCGCGTATAGTGCGTGTGTCTCCGTCATGCCCTTTCTATCGCCTTCCGGTCTCCGCCCCGGCAAGTTTGCACAATGCCTGTGTTTGAACCAAGCACGTGGGCAGAGGTTTCAGAAGCGCAACTTTCCCAGAAAGGATTTTCGCAAACTTCCGACTCCTTCGTTAAGCGTGTTCGTGCTTTTACGGATGCCCCGGAGCGTTTCTTGACTGCAACGCCATTAGGAACCCGTCAGGCACGCCGTCGCCCATCCACGGCACCGGATTCTAAAATCGAAGAGCAGCCCGAGGTCCACGCCCCTTTCGCTTCTACTCCGCCGAATGACACTCCGCGGGCAAATATTCGCAATCTTCCGCGCGCTGGAGCGAACAGGAACGATGGAATATTCGATGACCCTTTGGGCTTTGGGCGCGTTGATGTCGATGCACAGATGCTCGCACGGAAGGGCAAGGGAAGTTTGAGAGAGGATATCCAGGATTTGAATCTACGCCCAGCGCCAGCGAGGGGCAAAGAGGAACAAGTCCAAACTTCTCAGATTAACGTGTCCTCTGAGTCATTTGACCCGTCGATATACCTTGCCAAAGTGCATCAAGGAACTTCACTTGAGGAGCTCCGCGAAGGAAAGAAGACTCTGCACAAGGTTATGGAACACTTGGATGCGGAGACGGGAAAGTTCAAGAAGGAAAAGTTTGTAAGTGCTGTGCTTGTCGAGGCAATGTTGGAGCAAATAAAAAATGATCTATACCCGATCTCGCCATTTGCAGAGGAGCAAGAGCCATGGAAAGGGAAGACGGAAAAGACGTTTTGGACAGCGGAGCAAAAGCTCAAGTCGAGGTATGAGAACGTGAGAAGACGTGAGGCGGAACTATCGGGCTTGAGAAGCACCCTCGCTGTATATGCAAGATTTCAATGGATCTTCACTCTTGGAGATAAGCTTCGCGCGGCCGCCACAGAGGGTTTATCAGCGATTGAGGCCGCTATCAAGGAATATCGAAAGGCTCTGAAATGGATGGATGCACAGGAAGATGCTGACCTCTCTCATATTGAAGCCGATATCACAGATGGCTTCAACAAACTGGTCGACGCCTTACTGAGTCGTCTTTCAACAGCCCACCTCTCCCGTCAGGACACCTCCCGTTTAGTTAACGTGCTTTCATCCGTGGGCCGTGATAACGTTATGACTGACGCCCTGGAGAAACGCATGATGTTTGCTATGGAGGGTTTGAGGAAAGCAAGTGATGCGACTGCAATCATAGCCCTGCCAAGAATGCCTGAAGAGAGAGTGACACCGGAGGAAGCAACCGAGATAATGACGCGGTGCAACACGGCATTCATTGCAGGGATGCTGCATATCTGGAGGCTTGGGCGGATACTGTCCGGCCAAGAGCGCTGGCAAAAAACCGTACACAAGTACCTCGTCGAGTTTTGTCGTGCTTTTGTCGAAATAGCACGAGCGAATCTGTTTACCGATGTCTCGGTGATATCGCTTCAATCGGTCAAGGGAATAACAGCAGTCGGAAAGAAAGCCATTAATGAGCTCCACGTTCCCGGAACATGCATTGTTCCGCTTTTGGAACTGGCTAGCACGATCACACAGCAGTTTTTGCGATCCGTTTCTGTCTCTGTTCGCTTTAATGCCAATCGAGTGGCGGCACAGGCGTTGCAGACCAATACTGTAAGCAACGAAACCGCATCTCAGCTTCACTCGATTATTGTGGAGGCTTTGGAACAAGTGGACGGATCCATTATTCCCTCGGGGGTTGGCCATCAAGGACCTGGCGTGATTGCCTCTGATTTCTCATCAAACGGGGCGGGCACTGACAGCAGCGCGCCGAGCGAGAAGGTGTCAGGTCTTACCTTGCTCGCAATAACGTGTGCGGAAGTGCCAGGAATGTTTGTGCGCGATATTGAGGCTAGCATGGAAGAGAAGGGTTGTGACGTCGAGACCTCAAGTCTGAAGGTGGCGTCAGTTTGTTCTGAAATTCGCTGTAGTGTGATTGAAGAGCTGGAGATGAGAATGGGACCATCGTCGCTCTTCTATACTGAAGAGACAACGAAGTGCGTTGCAGAGACGAACAGGGCTGTGCAAGAAATACAAGAGAGAAGCACGGACACGTATGTTCGCTTAGTCTCTGCCCCCCTCGAAGCTCTTGCTGCCAATTTAGTTGCTTTTCCGGAAGAGGAACTGGAGGATAGTTTCAGCAGAGCAGTGCCCATTAAGATCGAAGGAATCTCTAAGAGCGCGTGTGAGGTGACCCTTCAGTTGGCGCTGATTACGATAACAACACGAAAGAGCAGCGGCAACACGCGGCTGCTGAGAGAAATACTGCTGTCCCTCATACAAGCAGTTGGTCAGACACTGGTCGATGTTCTAAGCACAGACAAATTGATATACCATAGAGCAGCGCAATTGTGGGTTGACGTTACCTACATACAGGATATGATCACCAGAGGGGCAGATAGCGATACCCCTGGCCTGCAGGAGGCTCTCGACGGGTACTCAAGAGTTAAGGAACGTGCCGTTCAAGCCGTGTTGGCTGATGGATACAGCTTCAGCATTGCAGATATGAGTGTGTTGAGGAGTTCAGTTGTTGCGATTGGCATGGAGCTTGCTCAAATGGTCCAAGATTGTTTCCGAGAAACTTGGTTATCACTCCGAAACCCACAACCGGAAGATGAGTAGAATCATGTAAAGAGAGAATACGTAACTAACTTTTTAACAGTCAACTTGCTTTTACATATTCATCAAAGTTGATGCTGAAGATGAATTTGCAAATGATTCTCAGAAAAAGATATCTTAAGAGCATCTCCACCAGTCGCAAATTGAAACGTATTTTGCAATCTGCAGTTTTGGGGCCTCCACCGCGCTCGGGCCGTTCCTCATTCTATCGCAAATCGAGTTGCAAATCGTATGACAAGTACGGTTTGCAACATTTTGTTTCCCAAATATCGACGATTTGTGAGACAAAATGCGAAAATTTCGCTTCGTAAAAAAAATCTCTCAACATTTTGTTTCACGTAAAAACTGGAATTTTGACGGGTGTCCTTAAACTTTCAGTGCACACTACTGTAACTTCCATACTGTAGGTGGAATATGACGTAATGCCAAGTCACTCTTCACGATGCTCGTTTTTCTGAAGAGATTTTTTCGGTAAGAATGGATATGGCACCCATAATAATACCGAAACTGAGATCTGCATTAAGGCATAACATACCTCAGAAAAGAAATGCACGTCATTGCCAGACGTTGTCAGGAAAGTATAAACCTTGGGGGAGTCGGTGTCTTCATGAGAATGGTAACCCTTTACTTTGGGCTTGCCGTAAGCTTCTTAAATACCCTTCCCGGCTTATACTAAACGAAATTCCCTCTCCTGTACAAGGAGAGTACTAACTAGAAATGCATGTAAATCTTGGAGAGTTGGACCCTTATACGATGAGTAAGTGCCTACAAAAGGCTGGCGCAGAGGCACTCTTGCCCACAAATGAAGACTTGGTTTTTTGCTAGCTTCGAAACGAAATCTATATTTTTTAAAATAAAAACCAACTCAAACGTTCAAATCCATTGAACCCGTGGCGTTTCAATGCAGTCACGACTGCCACTCAGATAGGTCTGCATACTGGCAGTGCCAACGGCTATCACGTTAAAGTAGGTGTCAAAAAACGACGTTTTATATCAGTAAGTTAATCCATGTGTTTACGCTACCAACGGTACCCTTGGTACTGTATATAAATGGCTTACCGTACATGAGCTTAAATGAACGGTCCTCCACTACACAGAAGGTACTACCCAAGGGTAGGGCTAGTGCCAGTACTGTGTACGACGGCGTTTCTGCTCTAGTTTGCTAGTTTGTCTTTCTTTAAAGCCTCTCTTTCTGTGTCCTATGAACAATTCCTGGGGAAAAATTGTCTAACTCAATTGTCCACAATCATGGTGGTGAAAGAACCTTAGTGGAGGTTCGACCCTGCTGAACAACGACCTTCAATTTTCGACATGCATTCCGCATTTTACATGAACCGAGAGGGGTTCATGGTTTCCTGGTTTGTACCTTCGAGTTTCGAATGAAAGTAAAGCGACTTGAAGACACGCTCTCAACGATTGTGTGTGCGCAACTACGGTCTATTGCATAATGGAGGCCTCTACAGTTACCCAGAGCGTTGCTGTGGTGAGCAATGGGCCTTGGCAATCTCGGGTACGCTTCAGGTTGACTAGTTGCCACACGGAAACCATATCGAGACGTGTGCCCCCAGCCTTGGCGTGAGGGAAAACAGCCGTCTTTAAGGATTGCCAAAATATATAGTTTTGAAAAGAGAGGCGATCGACGCCGAGAATAAGCAATTGATACAATAAGAAACCAAAACCACTATCCTCTACAGTACTCAAAGTTGTCCGCAAGCCAAAAAAAGGCTTCGATATGGTCTCTGGAGAGCAGAGCTGCCCTCCACGTGTGAGTTAGTATACAAAAAGTTAGTTGAACGACACTGTGGCACAGCAACCGTCAGTCGACATGCGGGGACGGGCGCGCGCGCACCATCTTGCGCTTGACTGCGTTGGACATATCGCGAAGTCCGCGGATCAAAAACGCAACCACCGGCACCAAATAAGCGAGCACGTAGTACAGCATATTGTTGAGCGTCGATCTGACGATAAACGTGATCTTGGACTGCTGATTACCGATAGCCTTGCCAAGATCCCTCCGCATCGCGTCCAAGTACTGCTCGGTAATCACGCCGCGCTTGTGATTCTCATCCAGCTCCCTGGACAGGGCCTCATGCCTCTGCTCCAGCCCGCGCCGCTCCAAGCCGCTCATCTCCAACCTCTGAATTAGCTCCTTGCGCGCCGCGACGGTCTCGCGCTCAAACTCGCGAAACGAAGCCTCCAGCTCGCGTATGCGGGCCACCAAAATGCGCACGGCCTCCGACTCGGGCATGCGCTCGTCCTCCCGATTCTTATCCGCTCCCAGGTCCTCCGTGGCGCCCTCGGTCTCCACCATGGGCACCCTCAGCCCGACGTCGGCAACGGCCGCCAGCCGGCCGTACCGCAGCGGCAGGTCATCCGGCCCCCCCGGCACGACCTTGCCGCCCAGCACGAACGGGTTGGCCACGACGCCCGCGTGGACGCTTGTGACAAACGCGGGAGTCTCCGTCGCCAGGCCCAGCGGGGGTCCGAGGTCGATATCCGGCGCGCCGCTTTCCTCCTGCTGCTTAGCGGGGTGCCACGGGGCGCCCCGTCGCGCGTCCTGCCTCTG